ACTTAATCGCATGTTAAACCAGCCAATATCCGAAGGAAGCGATGTTGAGAATCAGCAGGGTAGGTTGTACCAACCACATATTTCTTCCACCTTCAAATTGTTCAGCTACGGATTTCTCCAATACATGCACATTGCACTTTTGAAGACTTACCTCCAACATGACCAACCTACTCTTCACTGCTGCCAGTACAGTCAGTATGATCATTTACATTCTACATCTCAGAATATTTAGATACCAAATATCTCCTCAAGACACACAATTGTTCGAGCATTTATCTCAACGAGGAACTTGAAAGAGCATTCTAATTTCTGAGTGGTGGAATCCAGACTATTTATGCACGTGACAAGAGATACCATTCACGGCAACGTCGATCACAACATTGGAAGACTTGACTAGCACCAGCACGGCGGACTCACTCTGCAACATACGATGACAGAACAATCATCAGTCTCAACCACAAATGCAATACCAACCCCATCAATATCTCGAGAAGAATCGAATTCCCTCCCGGCAATAACAGAGGAAGAGCTCGAGAAACTGTTAAACCGTGAAGCGTCCGCGCTTAACAGGGAACTTGAGGTTGAACGGATCCTCAAAGCTTTCAAACTTAAGTGCGGCGTTTTCATAAGTTACTCTTCCAGCGACTTACGAACAGTCTTAAATGGATGAAACAGCCCTTACGAAATCCTCGACATAGACGAATCTATACCAACAGAGCAGGTCAAGAGGCGCTACAGACAACTTTCGCTCTGTGAGTGTCAATCTCTCCCTCCTTGCGGCTACATACTTACCTGATGTCTCTGCTTTAATCTAGTCATCCACCCCGACAAGACCCCACACAAACGCGCACCGGAAGCCTTTGATCTCCTTAAAAAGGTTCGTCATATTCTCGCATGTCCTAAGTCCTTTCTCTAGTTCGTGCTGACGCTTCCTCATCCCAACTCCGTGTGCCGCAGGCCGAATCGGAATTGAGCGATGAAAAGAAACGTGCAGAAGTTGACGCAACAGTTATGCAAGCTCGTAACCTCCTCCTCAGGGAGCATAAACTGCCTACGAACATTGAAGACACCGACCCTCGTCTAAAGGACCTCAGTCCACCGTTTCGCACCCAACTGCGCCTGAAGTGTAAGGAGATAATGATTGATGAGGAGGTCCGGAGACGAAAGTGCGTAGTGACTTAACCTTTTCCTCTTCTTCCCCTTCTTTTTCTCGCCATTCCTGTCGTGTTTTGCTCATCCCTTCCTATTGCCCGCTCACGGTTCTATGATTGATACGGCATACACTGACTTTACACCTCATTCATGCAGAGCCATCAAGATGAACCTCGCAAATGAAGGTCTTGAAGCCCAACGTCAAGAAGCCGAACAGCTCGCGAAGAAACGCAAAGCTGAGGCAGACAAAGTGTGGGAAGGTATGTTTGTCCTCGGACTAACATTTAACACATGCAAATTGATCATCTTTACTTGCTCGAACAGAAACCCGAGAAGAACGAGTCGGCAGTTGGCGCAACTTCGCATCAGGCTCAAAGAAGAAGAAACAAAAGACAAAGCCAAACGTTCTAGGATGAATATCTGGTCATCTATTCCATCGACCTTCTACCTAGTAGTCTCTGCTCTGCCTTACCCTCTCCTCGCATTCTTGTTTTTCTATTAACTATTCTTGTGCTTATCTAGACACCGCTGTCCGAGTCCATTGTAGACATAGATCTTACCGTGCATCTGCTAAGCGCTGAAATATCGATGTAATCTAACGCGCTTATCACCTTTCGTAACTAATAAAGATGCTAGTTGGCACGATAATCTGATGCTTGCTCTACTAGGATGCTCAATCGGTACTATCGTTCCTTCAAGCATAACATGAGTACAGTAGAACCTGACTGGCTAGACGTGCCAATAACCTCGAACTGCGATCTGCGCAACATGCCACATGTACGTGCATTGCCTCATATTTGCTCCAGATAACAGATGGCAGTGTTCATTTTAGAATACTGCCTTGCATAAGCAAATACAACGGGAACTCAGACTATTTATGACCTTATGACAGCAGTGAAGCTTTTTCTGATCCTTGAATATCTTACAATACACAAGTTCCAAGCAAGTTCTGAAAATGAGTGTCAAAGAGCTCTAGACAAGAGATTGGGAGAGTGCTAAAATAATACATAGACAGAAATCAAAAAGACAGGGGACAGTTGCATGTCTACTGAATGGACCTCCTAATCTGTTGCATAATACACTATACTACAAATTGGACAAGCAAAAGCAAGTTAAGAAAAGATACTATAGAATCAAACAGTAAAGGAAGGCAGAATGTTACACTTCTAATTAGACAAGTAGTAGCTATAAGTACTTTAGAGAGCCTTACTAAAGTTTTGTAAATCTAGTAAGTAAGACAACTATAAGAAAGAAACAATCAAATTTTCAACTGTTCAGAGCCATGTAGATTGTTGACTCATTAATAGAATACTATAACAATAGGGACAAGAGTACTAGCCATCTCAGGTACAATTGTCAGTATCTCAAAAATGCTTACAAGTAAGAATCCAATACTTGACACATAGAGACTAAGTTCAATAATACACAGCACATTTAATACTATGTAATATGAGAGGATTATGAATTGTAATTCCTAACACTCAAAGCCAAAGTGTTTAACCAGTAATAGTTACTGTACTGAAAATAAATAGATCCAATATAACATGTTGTTCATAATTGCTTGTAGTGATTTTGAATATCAGCTTTAATAATGAACTTGCCTAAGGAGTAATCAGGGACAAGGAATATAGTACAGTAAATTGAAAGGGGTATACAATAGTAACAAGCTATGACTCTACTATAATCTTTTTGTATAGTTGTCTTTTCATAACCTTTGAGATGATACCAAGCTACTACAATAGTGTATTCATAACATGTTAGCATAATAGTCAGACTTGAAATAAACAACATCATATTGCCAGCCATAAAGACTTTAGAGAGTAACAGTATTTTAGAAATAGTGTTAGAGATAAAAGCTGCCAGACCTTTGTTGATCAACAACAGAAGAACAAGTACTGACAACAATGAAATATACAGTTAGTATGCAGAAGGTGGGTTGCCCTGAAGCAGTAGCATGCTTATCACATGCATTATAGTTACTATGGTTATTTACATATCATTAGTACTACAATACACAGCTGCATGGCCTGAAGACATACAATGGGCATAAAACCTTTCTGTGTAGTATCTACATCCTCCTGGTTGACAGCAGTGTCGGGCTGAGCTGTAGCTATCTCTGGACGTCTGACAACACCCTGTATGTAGTATTTATCAAGTTGGGCATAGAGAGAGGCTCTGAGGCAGGGTGCACTCACTTGGTCTCTGTTCAGTTGTAGCTCCTGCTGGATGATGTATGTAGTTTGAAGTGGACGACATGCAGTGCAGAACTGGGAGTAGATGTTGCATTATGAATAATGCAAGGTTTAAGTTCTTGGCTGAAGGTGTAGCTTACTCGGTTAGTAGATGATCGTATCCTTCGAATACAAGCTGCAGGAGAAAGACGGTGGGTCATTCGCTCCCTTCGAGTATTGAAGATACCGACCTATGACTAAAAACCTCAATAATATAACAACTGGGTATCAGAGCGGAACGCTACTCAGTCAAGCACATTGAAAATAAAAAAGGAAGCAGAGACGCTGATAGGGGCGAAGTGGTGGTGATTAGACTTGCACAATGCAGACCTGGCGAAGGCGCTTCCGGAGACTGAGACATTAGTACTTGATTGCCACATGCAGACAGAACAAGTATATATGTAGTGCCTTGTACCACGTTTCCACAATATCTAACCGTCTACTCTATCGCTCCTTGCACACGTGTTTTTCAATTGCTGTAACGTCGTTCCCACCGTGTGTTGGATAATAAGAATATAACATACACCAGGACGCAACTAATCAGAAATATCAATGACATTGTCATATGAAACAACCTCTGAGATGCGTCTTCGAACACGCCGCTGAGGAACGGGTACGTTCTCTTTATCATACTCTTCATTTTCTTTATCGTCGTCTTCGATCGTGATCACTTCTTGCGTGATCACCGCGGGAGTTGCTCTCGTTTGTGTTTGACTTCGTATTCGTGCTTGTGATCGCGGGTGAAGTGAATTTGATGACCGTGTAGAAGTTCCATTCGACGAAGTCCTCTCTTGGGACTCCTTGCCAGCTTGCTCAACCGTCGTCCCTCTTGCCTGATTCTTCTTCCCTCCCTCGAGCGCTGCCTTCTCGACTTTTTCGATCTCATCAAGGAAAGCCGCGTCCATCTCCGCGTCATCATCATCAAATTCGAATTCCTCGTAGCTAATTTTCCTTCGAAGTGTCCCTGACCCTAATCCCGTACCCAATCGTGATCCTGGCTCTAAATTTGACGATGGAAAAGGCAGCTTTCCCGTAGCCACCGCCGAACGAGACGAAGAACCAGAAGGTGCATAAGAAGGCCCCGGATCCTCCATCGAAGAATCAGTAATAATATCAATCGGGTCTCCACGTGCAGGAGAAAGTACACGTGCAAGGCGCCGTATATTTCCATTCCCCGCTGTCGTGCTACCACTCGAGCTCGCCGATCCGGGCCCAGATACGAAGAAATTCGAAGCAACAAGTGTTTTCGAAGATGATGAGGAAGGTACTGGCGGATGAGGCTGTGTTTGTGCATTTTGGGTTACAGTTGAACTTGAACCGGGTATGCGACGTTTTCGTGGAAGGTCGGCATCGTCTACGTCCATCCCATCTGCGCGACGTTCTGGAGGTTCGCAGATCTCGCGGAGAGGTGAGCGTACTTGAGCTTGTGCGGCCATCGCTTGCACTGGATGTGCAGCCTGCGGTGGAAGATGATTCTCGTTCTCATTCTCATTGGTTGGACCTTCGTCATTTGGTACGGGTTTCCTATATGCATTGAATGAATTTAGTAATGATTGAAGTGTAATATTAGGGAACGTACATCATACGCTGACAGAGACCTCGCAGAAATTCTCGTTCGCGGAGTTCGTCTCTGTCGTTATTCTTATGTCCCTTTAGTACTATCCCTTGTGGCTCAAGGAACAAAATGCCCTTCCGGATCATTACATCTTTCAATAGCATCTGCACATCGAACCCGCAATTAGAAATCAACAGCAATATTACAATAGTAAAGACTATTCCCAACCTTGAATCCTAATGAAGTTTCCTCCAGTTTCAGCTGGGGAATTGACCTATACTCAATGGCCGGCATTGTTACGCTGCCGTCTGAAACCTCGAGCCTCAGCATGGACCTCGGATAACTCGGTATAGGTCCCTCATCACCCCCACCTCCATCTCCACCCTGGCCTTCATTTTCTGCTCCCTCCTCATTATTCGCAAGTCCAGCAAGATCAGCGCGTTCAAGCTTCGCCTGCCTCACATTAAACAAGTTGAACGCGCTATGCCCAATTTCCATAATGGAAGTGACTTCAACGAGTATTGAACTCCCTCTAATTCGTGTGTTTTTCATTGATGACGCATTACGAGGCAGTCCAGTATTAGGTTCCATCGAATCCCGCAAGTCGGATTCGAGGAGTTGGTTCTCCACTTCTGTGAGGAATGCTTCGGTTTGCGTGTTTGGGTTCAGATTCATCTCGGTTGCGATCCATTCGCAGCAGGAATCAAGCCACTCCTATGTAAAAGCTCATTCATTAAATACCATAGCGCAGCAGTAAAGGACGTCTGCTTCGTACCGTATTTACTACAGGCTTGGGATACGATTGCTTAACCCATCGTACGACTTGAGCCGGGGCCATAGCACATTCTTTACTTCCTCAGGGGAAGTTCTATTCCAGATGGCAATCAAATAGTAGACCCAAGTTTGACCATGAAGCTGAAGCTGGTAATTGAAGGTGGCAGTCCAACAGAAAGGACAAAAGCTGGACGCGGTCACGCGCCTTGTTCAATTTAGTACTGACGTCGCGCAAGACGCGTCTTTCCTAAATTAGTCCTTACCTAATCTGTTGGTAAATGTAAATTTTTTCGGATTGAAGTTTCGTCGAGCCGAAATGTTCATTCCTCGACCATATCGAGTCGACATGTACTTCAGAGCCCATGTAGTAATATTGTGCTCCATATGTCTGTATGGATCAATCGCATGATGGGTTGATTTCTTTGCTTCTCGCTCACAGAGACAATCACTACGTAAGCAAGAAGACAACTTTGTTCACGCAATCCTGATTCCTGATACGCTAACTCATAAAGCGCGTCAACAGGATTGCAGGATTGGTATACAACAGCCAATGTTTATATCGAGGCATCAATATCACCTGTTTAGAGCGCGCTCTGAAAGAAGTAGATCCAATCCACAGAACCTAAGGACTCGAATTATCGTAAGGAGATGGGTAGAGGATCTACAAGTACCGGAAAACAAGCAAGAAGCAGGCAAGTATCTTCTAACGGGCATTCTGGGGGGCCAGATAATAACGTATGAATACCTCTGCTTCTCCTCATCCCGGCAAAACTAGTGACAGAGAGACTAACATGAAATGCCGGTTTAATGTATAGACAGTATTCAAGGAGAGAAGAGACGGCGGAAACACGTCTAATGGTAAATCTAAAGAATATAACGAGCTACTTGGAACGCAGCAAATCATCCAAGGCATGATAAGGTGGTGGGACCAACATTTACTTACAATTGATACTGGTCTAGGTTTATTTTCACTCGGAAGAAGCCGTGACAGCTCACGGGGTCAAGCCGTCCTCTCTGCATGTAAGAATGTCAAAGAAAACGCAAAATTAACGCATAACGATCTTGTGAGATTTTTTAAATCTGACGCTGGAGACACAGATAGTAAGGAAAAATCCGAAAAGCAACCTGGAGAGCAGACTGAAGAATATCGGGAGTTACTCGAGATACACGGGAACATCAAAGGACTAATTGCTGTCTATACCCAGATGTTAGATACAATCAAACTTGGTAAACGTGCAATTTCGGTAAATGATCGTTCACAAGGAGCCCAAAGTCTCTTGTGCAGGTGCAGGGAGATCCAAACAAAAGTAAATGAAGAATATGCCGAGCTCTTCGGGACAAATATAGAAAATGAGTAATTCATGTCGCTAATGCTGCATGTATAGTATTACTGTACCCATCTGTATGGGTACAACCAGGCAGAGTGCGTTACCGGTGGAAATTGGAAACCTAACTATGTGGACGCGTTACAGTTGCTAATACAGACAACCAGACGGACGTTGCCGGAAGTTACTATACTACAGTCATTAACCGTTCCTTTGAACACTACCGTTCCTTTGAACACCCCCCCTTAACTCTACAACAACTTACTGTAAAATCTCAAAAAAATAGAATTACTTAGAGCTATACTTTTACTTTAAGTATATGAATTTTGAAGCAAAAATATTCAGTATTTATTTGTACAGAAAATCAAAACCGGTAAAAATGAGTGAATTCAAATTATATGACTGTAAACAACTTTTTTTTGAGATGCTTCTGCTCAATAATTCAAATTTAAAACTACATATTTGTATTCTTCTGTATCATAGCTACAATTTGTATCTTTTATTATGGATATTGAGTGTGTATTTAAATTAATATTGAACAATTTGTTGAGACTACTCTAAAAGCGTGACAGCTGAAAAATGATCAGTGTGAATGACCTCATTACTCAAAACACTAGGTTAATGACACATCAGTAAAGCTATAGTCTGTTATGCTAAATACACTTTTTTTCCTCTTGTTTCCTCATTCTCTAACAACTCTACATTCATGACAAAGTCTGCTAAATCTAAATCACTACAAAGAAGAGAAGGAAAAGAAAAAAAGAAAAAAATATTGTTGCTACTATGGAAATGTATCAGGCTGAGCTAGAACAGCCACTGGACAAGCATTGAGGGCTCTGAAAAATTGCTGACATGTTTGAAGGAGTGACAATGGGTACATTAAGAAATAGGGTGGCTGGAAAAAAGTCTATTTTAGAGTTTAATACTTTAAAGACAAAGCTAAGTAAGGAGGATGAAACAGTACTTACTCAACTAATACAGATTTCTTCTGACTGAGGCTGCCCCTTCACTTGTAATGATGTTTGACATACAGCAAACTGTTTGCTTGAGGCACAAAATGGACCTGGGTACTTAGAGTGTAGACCTACATTTGTTCAGCAATTCCTTGAGCATTACTATAATGAATTGAAGACTTACTAGAGTTCTCCCCTGAATATTCAACAAGCAAACAGATTAAACCCTACAACTGTTCATAAGTGGTTTGACATTGTAGAGGACAAAATTATAAAGAAAGGAGTCTTATCTGAGAACATATTTAGGATGGATGAGTCTAGGTTTTCTTTAGCTAATAATAGTATAAGGTATGTTATTAGAGCTAGAGGGAAAAGGATTCAGTACAAGCAAGGAGGGGCAAATAGAGAGACTGTAACTGCTATCATTACAATCTGTACTAATAGTACTTACCTAAAGCCAGTTATTATCTTCAAAGGTCAGAATATCTGGTCTAAATAGATAGAAAATAATGTTGTAAACACTAGGTAAGTAAACATACTTTCTAAAAGAAAGAGACTAACTTGCCTGATAGGTTTACTTGCTCTCCTAATGGCTGGACTGACAGTGAAATTGCTCTAGACTGGTTCCAGAATCAGTTTGAGCCAAGTACAAGAGAGTAGGCAAATGGACATACTCAAGTTCTTATTCTTAATAGTTATAGCTCTTATTACTCTCTTAACCTTCTTAATGTGGCTGTTACAAGTAATGTTCATATTCTTACATACCTACCTTATTGTATGTATACATTGTAGGGCTTGGATGTGGTGTACTTTGTCAAGATGAAACAGATTTGGAGAAATCTTATTAATGAATTTGAAACATATATATTATAATGTGTAGGAAAGTAAGACTTTTTAGGACTGTTTGGAAGAGCATTTCTACTTGCCTTTGACTAGTATACTATTCAATCTGCCTTCTGTGTCACAGGAATACATTCATTCAACCAGGATGTTATTTCTCTAGAACAGTTATAACTAAGCAAAGTCAGTTCCACATCCTCCTCCTTTCTCTTACTACTGTCTACTCTAGTCTGTCATATTATGACTGTATTTTACTATCAGCCTCTAACAAGCTTTAATGTTAATGTATTAACACACTTACTAGTAACTACACCTTCTGTATTGTCATCTTACATTTAAGACTGTTAAGACACTAGTTCTTATAATAGTAGTATTATTATACTACTACTATAAACCTATCTAGATACTAGCTCTTATAGTAGTAGTATTATTATATTGTTACAGGTTCCTATCATTAATCTAGTAATTAATCTATCCCTGTACACACTAACAAAACAAATACACTTAATATACTTATTACTAGTAATGTTAGTGTCTAGAAGTTTTCTAGTAAAGAAGGAACAACTTACCTTTTCAGAAACACTTCTACTACTTGTACTAGAGAAGGTTCCTTCACATCTTAAAGATCCAGACTGGAAACTTATAGACCTGTACTTGGATCAGTTAGTAGGACAAGAACTTAGAGTAGAAGTTAAGGAACTTACTAAGAACATTACTCAGACATGTTAACACATTAAAATCAGCTGTAGTATTATGAAGGGGCTCAAGTACAGCTTGTTCTAGCCTCTCTTCTTAATACTAGGCTCTAGAATACTCTATACAAGAAGGAGAAAGGAAAAACAACAGAGAACTCACAAGTTTTTAATAATAGAATGTTAAAGATTATAACCTTAGATAAGACCAGGGAAAAGCTTAGGTAGAGGAAGGAGTTGAAGGATAGAGAGGAGAAGGAGGCCTATATATAAAAGGAGGAGGCTAAAAGGAAGAAGGATGTTAATAATACAATCAAAAGTGAATGGAAACAAATTAAGACACACTATAACAAAGACCTTACTAAATAGTAAGATAAATGCACTATGTAGAAGGAAGAGAGGCTTCTAAAGGCTTACTAGAGCTCTAGACCATTTAGACTAATAAAGAAACAAGTCTAGGAGTGTCTACTATGAGAGAGAGGTATAGACAGTACTATATACAAAGAAGTAGTGTCTGGATAAGGTGAATACAACCCAGACCTGTGTAAGTGTAATGAACAAGGCTGGAAGTACACCTAGAGCTGTAAATAAAGTTATAGAACAATTGTGTGTACAAAATAAAGTAAGAGGAGCATACTAAGAGTAAACATAAGAGTACAAGTTGAGAGTATAAGGGTGAGGAGGATGAATGTGTGCCAGTGTGACACTGTGTCACAGGGTGTTCAAAGGAAGTTGTGTCAATTCTACATCCAGACCCTGAGTCCTATAGTCTTTTTTTGGTTAGCTTGAATTGGCCACCCACAGTTCAACTTGAATTTCACTAAGTCAAAATAAAGTCCTTTTCTAATAAAATACATGTTCCCCTCCCTAATCCTAGCCAAAACCCATCCTAACACCCAAACCTAACAACCCAACTTATCCCAAACCTAATTGGGGGGCAAAGCCCCCCAAACCCCCCTCCTAACTTCTTAGTCCAAGAGTTGCCGCACTAGTATTATGTAAGTGGCCATTCAGGGTCATCCCAAATTGGGTCGTGAGACTCAGGGTCTGGATGCGGAAAATCAAAGGTTTTCAAAGGAGCAGTTTTTGTGACAAATCCTCTCATTTTTACTACATTCATTTTAATTTTTCTACAAATCCTAATAGCCTGAAAAAATTCAGGCATGCTCTTATTACCATTTAATTCCTAATTACAGCTTAATTTTTCCTAATTTTTTGTGTAGAGTAAAATACAATCAAATTTAAAGTTGGTGTTTAAAGGAATGGTTAATGACTG